ATGATATTGGTATAAAGGGCAAACACCACCCTTTTAGGACCAGTAATTTCTCAAAAGAAACCTAGGTCATTGCTATGCTTTTCTGGAATGGTCATAAAAATGCACTATTCTTCCAGCAGAAGTTTGGTTAAATAGGCAGCCACAAAAGCCTAGAAGGAACACAAACAGAAACAGGATCAGAATGGAAAGGAAATATAATCAAATGTAAAGTATGGAATATTCATAGATAAAATTACCTAAGTAGTTCAGAGCTCTTCTACTTTTCCCCTTGCCTAATTTGGGGCATCACAGAATTCTAAGTCCTAATTCTGCTGGGAAATGATCAAACTGCTCTGAAGTAAGAGTGTGATTTTGGCCTCTAAATAGGAAGATTTAAGTAAAAACCCTTTTTTGTTCCCATGTACCCTCTTGTTATTTCCCATTATTTCTTGCCTCTTCCACAGCCAAACTTCATAAAAGTAAGTTATCTAAATTCAGTACCTACTTTTTGCCCCACTCCCATTCATTCACTCCCAAGCCCCTGAAATCTGGCATCTTAGTACTCAATTTTTCAACTTTTCCATTACAAGCAATCCAGAACTCCAACAAATGCCAAACAGGTCCCAGCAATGTGAAAGAGAAGAGAAGAGTTTATATGGAAAATGAGAAAATCCAGCAACCCATTTTAGGCAAATACATAGCAACATGAAAAGCAACAAAAACTGCTCATAAATTATCTCAGGACCAGCAGGAAACAAAGAAGCAAACAATTTTGGAAAGACACACAAACATGAATATTGAAAACGTGTCATGGAACTGAAACTTGAAACAAGCATAATGCCCAGCATTAAATACACAAAGAGTAAACAAAGCAGACTTGGAATGAACATTCTTGCATTGAGACTGTCAAATGCAAAAGAAGGTGATAAACGTAAAATTCATTACCAAAAATTAGCACTTAACTTTCACCACATTCACAATTGTTGAAACAGAGTAAATGCACCATACTATTATTACTCAAGTATTCCACAGAAATAGCAGAAGACTGGTAAAGGTTATTTATCACTACACTTATGTAAGATGCTATTTAGTTTCAATACAGCAATTGCAATGTAAGTGCTCTACTAAGTATGTCAATGTTATTTGCAGTTTACTTTTATGTTACCACTTCTGCAACTGCTATATTTCACCGTGTCAAAACTTTAAAAAATTAAAGCTTTTCTCTATTTTTGTCTTGTATATAAATTACTATGAGACACAAAGTGGCTGTAAATATACTGACATTGACTAAGAGAATAAACACCAGCCAGTTCGATGGGGACAATTACTAAGAAACTGTTAAGATCCCACTTGATACCATACTAATGACTAAAAGTCTACAGCAAGAGGATAGGGAAGGAGGAAATCTGAGGTGTTTTTTTTTTTTTTTTTTTTTTGCTCTAAGTGTTTAAAATAATTGTCACTTAGGTTATATCAAATATTATAGCTGCTAATTTTTATCTTCTGGTGGTGAAGTAGCTCAAACAAGTCCCCAAGCTACTCAATTTGATAAACACCTATGTGCTAAATTCATCAAATCAGGACTGTTAAGGTGTTAAGGGGGTAACTGATGAACATTTCCTAAAAGGTTTTAAGATACAACTCACTGAGGATTAACCTTTTTATCAAGTTCAAATCCACACAGCATCCTCAAAAGCCTCTCTATCAAGTTAAGAATTTTAAGTATGTGCCCACTTGCATAACTGCTTACAACAGCACATCTCTGTAGTTTCCTTAAAAGGCTTTATATTCGTAAACATTTATATTTGATTAAATTCAACCTCACATACTTAAACTTTTTTTTTTTTTAAAGATTTTATTTTTATTTATTTGACAGACAGAGATCACAAGCAGACAGAGAGGCAGGCAGAGAGAGAGGAGGAAGCAGGCTCCCCGCTGAGCAGAGAGCCCGATGCGGGGCTTGATCCCAGGACTCTGAGATCATGACCTGAGCCGAAGGCAGCGGCTTAACCCACTGAGCCACCCAGGCGCCCCACATACTTAAACTCTTGCAAAGAAATACCTTCTAGTGCTACAATTACCCAAACCTATTAAAAATTAAAAAATAGAATCATAGGATAAATAGGGCTCATTTTTTTGGTTAATCATTAATTATGGACATTTGATTTTAAATACTGACCCGGGGATATTTACTGCATTTACCTTCAGTGGCCTATAAAATCCAGCAGCTAAAATTATGCCAATTTGTTACAAACACAATGCATCAACTAAGACTAGAAAACATACATTTTAGTTTCCTGAATATTAAGTCAAAGTGTAAAATATGGATTAAAGTTTCCAGAATGAGTTAAGATCTACCCTAGAGAAAGTCCAATTGCTAAACTCTGCACGTCATGCTTATTTGTTTTCACTACTAAGAATGTACACTAGAAAATATCTAACTTAATCTAAGGTGAGTCTGAAAAGATACCTTTTGGTAAAAATGTTTTCTTCCCCTTTAAGTTTGCTTGTCTCAACTCTGATCAGGTTAGAGTAATTTTTAATTTAACTACTGGGTCTATATCACCTTTGGGTTACTGACATTTCATTTCTGATAGGTAAAAAAATTAATTCTATTTTGGAAAAGAGATATAAAAGGGCAGACAATAGAGCTGTTCTCTCAAATTTCATAGCCTGGAATAGAAAAAGCATTACTTTAGAACTTTAAGATACGAAACAATTCTAACATTTTTCATAATTTAGCAGATCATTTTCTTTAAGGGAATACAATACAGTGATTCTCAACGAAGACAGAGCCTGATTTTCATAATTGACTTGGAGCTTTTTCAAGCTACATATGTACACAAGTGTTTAACAATGAAATTGTTACTATGTAATTTTTTAAACTTTTAATTTAAACTTTAAATTTTTTAAACTTTTTAGTCACTCAAGCACAACTATTATCTCTTAGGAACATAACTCAGTAACAGGCATTTTACATTAACTTTAGAAGTATGGGCTGAAAAAGATTGTAGCCCTGTATCACTATATGAAAGGAAGAAATGGAACTGTATTTTGCTAGGAACTTGGTCACACAAATTTAACTTAACCAACTGTTGGAAGAATATATCTGAATTAATCCTTGTCCTTGGGGCTCTAACTACTCTGTGGCTAATTTTTAAAAACACCCGATAAAAAAGTAGTTTACCCAACTGTTAAAAAAAAAATCCACAATTTACATGTTTCAAAGTCCTTTGCTAAGTGCTTTACATAGATTATTTTGTTTAATCTTTACTAACATCCTTACAGAGGCTGCTATTATCAATGAGGCTTAGAAGATTAATAATGGCTGTCATACTGAGCAAGCCTCTTTAGATTTCAAACCGAAGCAGCAGAATCCAGGCCAACATTCCTCAAGATACTAAAGTCAGTCTTCATATTCCACATCCAAGAAGGCTCCTGTCCTCTAAAGATGGATCCATTAAGTGCCTGAATGATAGGGCTGCTTTAATCATTTCAAATGCTTGTCCTCTTGGATCTTGTATTTTTTCTTTAGCAGACATACATGACATAATGTTAAAGGATTTTCAAAGCAGAGACCACAGACAAATTCAGCACTGAATCAAAGGATTTGGGGCTAAAAAGATGCTCCACTGCATATCATTTACCTAAATATCAAGAATACTAAGATAACATCAATAATTTTAAAAATTTAGGATTCAGGGCAAGGAGAGGAGTTATTGAAAAAAAAGAGAGTAATTATTTTCAGAAAATCCTAGTATCTTATTGCTTCCAGGTACTTCTTTTACATTTTTGAATAGCTTTACCATAATCTTGTGATAGCATGAGCTCTTACTTGGGTAGGTGTCTCTTATCACTACTTTCTTGGTATCATGCTAAACTCTCAGTCTCAGAAATATCTAGGTAAGTCAGGATACTCATAAGGCTAAACTGAAATCTCTCCCACCTCCTCACCAATGTACAAACTGATGTCCAAATCATTTCCTTATCTACACGTTTTCAGAATTCATTTGAGGGTACAATTAGTTGTGAAACTAAAATCTTCGCCTAAACTTTTGTTATTAGTGTAATGCACCACAATAAACACAAATACAGGATGTAGAGGACAATTGTACCCTACCCCTGTACACTCACTCAGTTTTAAAAATAGAGAATAAATTGTTCCAACCTGGCAGAATAATTCAACAGGGATGAGTGAAGGATAGTTAAATATTTTTAGAGGTGATCCTAACACAACACTGTTGAAAAAACTGCTGTAAGAGCAAATGACTCAATACACTTTAATGAGCTATCTATAATTGTAATACAAATCAACACCCTAATTCTTTTCTTAGATGAAAAGAATGTAAATTGCTTTATCCCCCAAAGGCATTCTTAATCCCACTTTTCAGTTTTCCTAACCCAGTGTTTTCTCAGGGACACTAAGGTTATTCTTTTAGAAGCTGGTGTCACCAACTCCTCCTTCCTTCTAAGGAAGAATGCAGAATTTCTGCCCTAAAAGTTAAAGGTTAAATCACTGAACTTTAAAAAAAAAAAAAATTAGATGTTTCATTTCATTAATTAGATGTCCACTGGATATAAGCCTGGAATAACTCCAAACTACCCAAACATATGACAAATATAAATTATAGAAATCACTGCATTATATAGGTCTAGTTTCTCACCTATGAGATTTGTAAGCAATCTGCCCCCACTCCCAAAAATCTGTCTTCCATAGGAAATCAGATGCAGGTTACTGCTTATATAAAGAAATATTTTACACCACGAACAAGATTCACTACAGGTTTGTAAAGTAAGACATACCAGTGAACCACCAATCCCTAAAAATAATTAAAGAATTTGAAACTAAGCTAAATGCAAAGCTGTCCAGTTTTCTCTCTGTTAAATGTAAAACACTTCTACAGTTATACTGAAGGTCTGAAAGAAAACAGCAAAACATTTCATTCCCTTTCCTATACTTACCACAATTACTTGAAAAGAAGGTGGCTCTGAATAACAGAAATATTTGTATGTGCCTTTCCCATTGTTGTACTGCACAGATAAATGAGACCAACACGTTACCTCTGTTAAAAATGAAACAAAGCCTTTCATCTTGTGACTTGTTCCCAGAAACAGGACAGAAGATGATTCTTCAAAGTTTTTGTAGTTATCATCTGTATACATCTGAAAGACTATTTCTACCATGTTTTATTATTTTTAATCACTCTGCCTAGCTTCTCCGGATAGGAGAATACATCCATCAGCTGTAATATTACTAACTACTAACAGAGAGACGAAAGGCATATCCTTAATGACCCAAAGTAACAAGTTAATAATTTTGTTTTCCGAATAACTGTGGAGAAAAACACAAAATATATATCGTATTTTTAACCCTTCAGACACCCTCAGGAAGAAATTTTCCATCTTTCATAGTGTAGACAGACTCTGAAAAAGAACAAATACACAGCATTGTTTTAGTAACACAATTGGAAAAAAAAAATACAGTTCATTTGATACTCTGCAAGGTAACTTAAAGACCAGTGACTTTGGTTTCAGTTAGTTAAAAAAAAAAATTACTTAAGGTAATCGTATATATGGAGTACCACAAATTAACACTAACTCTATTTTTAAAGTAAGTTGGTGGTCCATGCTAATGAACATCCTGTCTTCTCAATATTTTAGCATACACTCTTTAAGTTTATCCAAAAACCCACGTTACTTCGAAACCGACCGCCAGCTGTCCATAGGGTTATCGTCAATAATATCCCTGGCATTTTAAACCGGGTGTTACTCCCTTAGACCTCTCTTAATCTTTTCCTAACTGGGGCGCCACAGCACCGTCCCCTTCCAGCTTGGTTACTCGTGTCAACATTGATTTCTTTGGACCCTTCTGGCAAATCATTCCTTTATGAAAAACCAGTGAGGGTACGAAACCTTGCGGAGGGGTAAGGAAGGTTGGAATATAAGTGACAAAAAGATTAAAAAAAAAAAAAATCAGGGGGAATAACCCAACTCCGTGGGTGGAAGCTGGCTTTTCCGACCAAAGTGAGAAGGGTCGCCGTCCAGGGTCCCCGCAGCCCAAACAAGACGCCAAAGGCTCCGAGGATCCTATTAGTCGGCCTAAGTGATGCTCTGGGCCCAGAAGTAAACAGACTCCCTCAATCCCTTAATAAGAAAAAGGACGAGAACGGATAGGGTGCCTATACAACCTGATGGACCTTAAGGCCGAGGCCCAGTGGGCCTCTTGATACTGCCTCCAGCCGGACCCACCCTACAATTTGTCCCCAGTTGCCGCGTCCGCTCCCGGGTCTCCAGGTTTGGGCCCTAGGCTCTCCAACCCGTTTATGCTCCACCTCACCGTGCCCACCGCACCACCATTCGGCTCGCGCGCTGCCTAAAACCTCGGCCAGGCTCCACGGACTGTTCCCGGTACTCCTAACATGGCGGCCGAGACCCCTTCGCTTCTTTGGCCCACTCTGGGCGCGTCCGATCTTGGCGCATTTTGGGCATTGTAGTTCCCGCGGTAGCCTCGGTGTCCCACCAGGCCTTTAGAAGACTACGATTCCCAGAATGCACCGCTCCTGAGCATGGCTATTGGGGCCTTTCGGACAGAGGGATGATGTCATTGCAAAAACCCCACTGCATTCATTGTGCTACGGTCTATCCACCCCCCTGCTGCTGCTGGGCTTGCGATTGCCGCTTGCTCCAGCTGAGCTAAGAGTAACAGCAGCACCAGGGCAGGGACTGACTCCAGCCCTTGGACTTAGGACATCGCAACACGTTCATTTGCCTGCGTGACTCATTCGCACATCATTTCTGTTTATGCCTGGGGTGGGGAGAAATATCCCAAACCAGGTGAGTTGAAGTGATTTATTCAAATGGTTCTACCAAGTTATTCCTCCCGCTTAATTCTCAAGGCTTTCTTTTGGGGCGATGGGGGCGGGAGGACTGGAGAGGTGTTCGAAAGTGCTGCTAAGTGAAAAAGCTCTGTGCAATTTGGGTCACTGCAAAGAACAACTCTAGCAACCTTCCCCCGCGGGAGGACCGATTGCTGCCGATTCCCTAGTCGCAACTCCCCTCAACCTTTTTGAGGATTAGAGAGGGGGGCTGGGCTGGGAAAGATGTTGGGAAGCGCTCTTGAAAAATCAGAAAAAGGCAGAGGTGGGGGACTGCAGTCCTGTCACATACGGCCCCGAGTGCTGAGGTTTGAGTGGGAAGGGGTGATGCGTGGGGAGAAATGGAGACAGTGATTTAATGTGGCTGCACTACTTTAGAACATTCCTGTGTCGCTTGGGCAAGCACACGCTATTTATTTTTAAGATGAGCGTGCTTCTGAGTAGGTTAAGTTTTGTGGGGCTCTATTTTATGTGTGTGTGTGTCTGTGTCATTTGTCTCGCCTTTTCTGCTGATTTGAGGTGACAGTGTCCTTTACTGGTGCACTCCCTGCTAGTCAGAAACATTTCACGTGTCTGGGGAAGCTTCTCTTAGGCTGCTGGAAGGAGCATTTTTGTTAAGTGTTTTTCTTCTTCCTACTGCAGGATTGTTTGGAAGTGGAGCCGACAGATGTGTGCTCTTGTGACTGTTTTAAATGATGTTGCAGTAGGCTCCTTGCCACTGACAATGGTACCATAATGAGCTGCCTTTTCGTGAGGCACAATCACCAGTCACAACTAACGGTTTGGAGAACGGATTAGGGAAACCCTGGTTCGTTTTCACGCATTAGGGAAAGGAAAAGTTAGAAGCACTGTTAACCTTCATTTGCCGTTACTGAAAGGTACCCGAAAGGTATCTTCTGAAAGGAAGAACGATCCTGGCTAGGGAAACCAAGGAGCATAGAAGTGAGGGGTTTTTGGTTTTGTTTTTGGGGGTTTTGTTTTTAAGCGAACTGACACATTTAATAGGACAGAAAGCATTCTGGCTTGTGTGATCTTGGCTCTTGTAAGAGTTATTAGGATGATAAGTGCAATAAATGTTACTTTGGGATAAACAGCTGGCTAACTCCAGAACAGATGGGGCCAGTCTTAGCCGAGAGATCTACAACCTTGGAAATGAATGGACTTGGGGTCAACCACACCCCCTCCTGGAATGTCAAAAGAAGGAGAAATGCCAAAGCATTTTATGCTTAACTCTAAAATGCCAACCCTCTTTATAGCCAGGTCAGAAATTGGGTGAAAGTCATTCCTGGTTGCCTTCGGCTGCTGAACACATTTTTTTCATTTTCAGTTCAGACCCTTAGGTCTCCAAAGTTGCAGCTGGGTGATGCTTCGTTAAATGCTGCTTGTTACTGAATGCAAAGGACAGTCTATTGTATGGGCTTTGTAGTAGAGTGATTTATTGAGATGCAATGAGCAGCTTTGGGATTTGGGAAAAGACTGCCTGGCTTTGCTTCTTTCTACTTCCCTGATGCTTACTATCAATTCCCCTGGGCACCTTACCGTTTTTGCCTGTACCTTCCCTGCCCCACCCCTCTATGTCTGTTGAAGTTCTTTCAGTTTCTTTCCCTGTTTCTCCATTTACAATTCTCACTTTTCCTCTGTGTTTCAAAATTTCCCTCTTCTCACCAATATGTCAAGTCACTCTAAGTCTTTTTCCAACCTCTGAATACCTTCCCTGCCCCTTCTCTACCTCACCCAGAAACTCCAGAGTAAAGGTGGACTGTGTATTTATTCCAGAGAGTCCTCTTAGAAGCTTTGACTTTTTTTTTTTCTTTTTCTTGCAGTGGGTGCTAGGCAGGGTGAGCAGCAACGAGCCTGATCCTTTGACCTGCTTTGTCGTTTCTGTAACAGACATAATTTGGCCTCAGCAGCTTGTGGGCAATGCAGTGTTGCAGTTGAGCCCATGTCACTGTAGTTTTGCACTGGTACCTGTATTAAGAATGGAAATAAGTCGGGGCGCCTGGGTGGCTCATTGCGTTAAAGCCTCTGCCTTCGGCTCAGGTCATGATCCCAGGGTCCTGGGATTGAGCCCCGCATCATCGGACTCTCTGCTCGGCAGGGAGCCTGCTTCCCCTCCTCTCTCTCTGCCTGACTCTCTGCCTACTTGTGATCCCTGTCTGTCAAATAAATAAATAAAATCTTAAAAAAAAAAAAGAATGGAAATAAGTCAAGCAGAGAGAGTCAATTATCATATGATTGCGCTTATTTGTGGAGCATAAGGAATAACACGGAGGACATGGGGAGATGGAGAAGAGAAGGGAGTTGGGGGAAATCAGAGGGGGAGACAAACTATGAGAGACTGTGGACTCTAAGAAACAAACTGAGGGGTTTGTGGGGGTGGGAGGTTGGGTGAGCCTAGTGATGGGTATTATGGAGGGCAGGTATTGCATGGAGCACTGGGTGGGTGCATACACAATGAACTCTGGAACACTGAAAAGAAATTAAAAAAATAAAGAAAAAAATTTAAAAATGCTTAAAACAAAACAAACAAACAAACAAACAAAAACTGCCAGTGCATTAGCAATGTTTTAAAATGCTTTCTTTGAGGGGTACCTGGCTGGCTCAGGAGAAAGAGCATGTGATTCTTGATCTTGGGGTTGTGAGTTTGAGCCCCACGTTGGGTGTATAGAGATTACTTAAATATGTAAAAACTCAAAAAAAGCAAGTGCTTTACATGAACTGTTCTCTTAATTCCTAAAGAAAAAGAAGACTTTGAAGGGCTTCTTTCTCATTTAATACTTTTTCCTTCCCTGATTCCTGCTCCAGTAGGTGGTGGGAAGGCCATCTTTTCTGTTGATTGCTGAGGAGCAATCCAGGTGGCCAAACTGCCCATTTGCTTTTTTTGAAGACACTTGGAGTGGCAATGGTGTTCCCTCCTGTGATGTCTTCTTTGTGGCTGAAAAAAATTTTATTTGTTCTCTAGAGGAGAAGGGTGTGGTGGTGGTTATGTTTAACGCATTTAATGCTTTTCCAGGCATAGAGAGTCTAACTGTTTATGGTATGGAGGCAACTACTGTGACAGGCAGATTGAGAAGTTGTCTTCCGAAGCCTCTCTCTCACCGCCTTCTCATTCCCATTTTTCTTATTCTAAAATGCTCTGTCCCCTACCCAAGCTGTTTAGTGTTTTGTGGGGACAACTGAGCTGAATGATGGGTTAGATTTGTCCCATCACTATGTCTGTGACCTTGAATAAATATGCATTTCTTTTCTGCCTCTGTTTACATATTTGCAAATGGATAATGATCCTTGCCTCTTGGTTTAATTGTTCTCATGGCATAACCTGCTACAGTTTGCTCCCAGCCCATAAACTTGATGACAAATATTAATTGAGCAGCTAGTGTGTTTTAAGAACTATGGATACATCAGTTGGAAGAGAAGCTTCCCAGGGTTACTGGGTGACTCAGTCGGTTAAATGCCTGACTCTTGATGTTGGCTCAGGTCATGATCTCAGAGTTGTGAGATGGATCTGCCCTCCGTGTGGAGCCTGCTTGATATTCTTTCTCCTTCTCCCACTGCCCCTCTCCTTGCTTGTTCATGCACGTGTGTACTCTAAATAAATAAATAAATAAATAAAATCTTAGAAAAAAGAGGAGAAAGAAAGAGAAGCTTTCCCAGCCCTCATGGAGTTTCTATTCTGATAGAGAGACAATCATTGGACAAGTAATCATAGTGTGATGAATGTTACTATCAAAAGGGGATGTACTATATCGGGGAATAGGACTGCCTCATTGGTGCTTTCACCTTGTCTCGGGAAATCAAGAAAGGTTTCCTGTGGGAGGTGGCACTTCAAGAAACTTGAAGAGTGAGTGGAAGTAGTTCAGGTTAGGAATGAGAGGTGCTTGCAGGGAGACAAAGAGGATTTCTGACAAGGGAAACTGCATGTTCAAAGTACAAAGGGAAGAGTAGTAAATTGAAGATTTGAAAGGAAGTTAGTCAGTATATGGGAGCAGAGCTGGGGGAGAGAGACCAGACTGGGCTGGAGCGGTGAGCAGAGTCTAGAGAGTGGGCAGGTTTCTGAGCCTCATGTGAATTTTGGTCTTTATCCTAAGAGCAATAAGAACCTAATAAAGGGCTTTGAATAGCTAGGTGAATTATTTATGTAGAATGATATGAAAAACATCATCTTGGCTGTTAAGTGAGGAAGAGATTGGAGGAGAGGATTGGCCAAAGGCAATGTGTGGAGGACAAGTAGCAAGTAATTCTTGTAGTCTATGTGAGGAATAATGGTGGCTTGGATCTAGGGTGGTGGCAGAGGGCTTGGAGAGAAGGAAAGAGATTAGAGAGATGCAAAACTTGAAGAATATAATTGATAAGATTACTGATTGATTGGATGTGGGGATAGGGAGAAGGGGGAGTAAAGATGACTTGAGTCTTTCCTTGAGCAACTGGGAATGCAAAAGAGAACACTGGAGAAGAGACCAGATTTTTGTTTGTTTGCTTAAGAAGGAGGGACTTTTAGCCATGTTCAGTTTGAAATTCCAGACAGACATCTTATGCAACTTATATGGAGTATGGGGCACCTAGGTGGCTCAGTCAGTTAAGTGTCTGCCTTCTGCTCAGGTCATGATCCCAGGGCCCTGGGATCAAGTCCCACATTG